AAAACTAGCTATCCCACCCCTCCCCTCCCACCCCAAACAAAGCTGAATTTGGAGCAAAATGGTAGGTTAACCCTTTTCAGACGGGGGGCTCTTTTGGAGCAATGTCAACCGAGTTTTGACGGTGATGCTTTTCAAAATTTGCTTTTTTAAAAGGATTTATTTCTATTTTAACTTACGAAATTTAGCAATATTTTATCAAATTTATCAATTGTAATTGTTAGTGTAATCCAGGCTTTTCCGTGATTGTTTTAAAAAAAAAACACATGAATTTAAAATGACCAATTGGCAGATGTTAGCCTTTCAATTCTTGTTAATTTCTCGGATTTTTACAAGTTATGGATTTTTTAGCTTCCTAAGCATCCTTTCACACACAAATCAATTCTTTCCTTTCACAATTACCTCGATTTATATGGGTTTTAAGGAAAATTGAATACATTTAATTAATTTAAATTAGTGGGTCCAAGATGGTGGATGGTTCCAGATCCTTCTTAGTAATAACAGGAGCCCATAACCCGGAGCGAGCAACTCCCATACTTGGTCTAAGTCACGGCGTTTTTACGTACCAGTTTATTCTTGGGCACGCACTTTTTCCCGCGAAAGTAGGATCTCCACCATGTCTATCAGCGCATTCGAAGAATAACATGTCAAAAAGGATAACTTAACTTATTTTTAGGTCTGTAGGTTTTGCTGACTGGTTTGTGGAATTAAAAAGATATTTACATTTGCGCCAAAACTGGTCTAAAAATAAACTGGTCCATGAAAACCGCCGTGACATGAGTTCATGGAAGTTGTTCGCTCCGGAAGATGGGCTCCTTGTAATAAATGCTGTCATCATGACATCACTGCTGTTGTTAAAGGTTATTAATGCGCTAGCCAACTCCTTGATCTTGTCAGACGCCTTACTATCTTAAGTATTTTTCGTTTTGAGGGGGGAAATTGATGGAATTTGGATTCTGCCAATAAATTCAACAATACGACGTCATAATGTGGTCAAATTACGCCATTGTGCAATTAACCTATGCTTATTGATGTTTGAAATGATGATTATATTATTTTGTGTAATTTTGGTGGCCATATCATGAGCGGATTTGAAGTTATAGAGGGGGTGGGGGCGGGGCGGAGCTCCGGAAGCAAAAAAGGCTGGTCTAAATAAGGTTGAGTGTCCTTAAGAAAGCCTTTTCTCCTCATCTATACATACATACATACATACATACATAAACTTTATTTATCCTCGGATTTTAGTGTAGCTTACATAGCTAGTATCTCCGATCCTAACTAATTTTAAAAGTTACAACATATATAATATAATATTAATTAATGTAGTATTAACTAAAACTGTGCACTAACAATTTGCGCTTAAATTCACTATAATCTACAGTCTTTCTAAAGTGATCAGGTAGAGAATTCCAGTACTTAACAGATGAATAGCTAAAGGAATTTAGACCATATGTGGTTGTAGACGGCTTAGGAAGTGATAAAATATTAGTACCCCGTAGGGAGTAAGCAGTAGATCTTAACTTGATCAGTTGTTTTAAATAGCACGGATATTTACCAAAATGGAGACATTTGAATATACAAATCATCATGTTTTGTATCCTCTTGTTGGCTAAACCACACACACCAGCCTTGTCTAGAAGAGCATCATAGTTCGAGTCCCAGTCCTTTAAAACAAATCTTAAAATACGTCTATTTAAGGTGTCCAGTTTGACAGAATCTTCTGAATTACAAAAGTGCCATATCATTGAACAGTAGTGAAAATGGGGTAAGATAAACGCTTTATAAAGGCGAAGCATAATTTCGGATGAGATAAGTTTGCCAAATCTTTTGAAGACACTGAACTGATTATTTATTTTTTTGCATACAGAGGATATGTGATCCTTGAAATTAAGTTCATTGTCTAGAGATATTCCAAAAAGATCCAGGCATCTTGTGGTTAAAAAGGAGAAAGGGTAATCGGTTTTGCCAAGAACCATCCCTTGATGTTTAGCAGGGTTTGCTTTCATCCCATTGTCTTCGAACCATTTATTTGGTATTTGTACATCATGATTGATCCGCCGTTCCAAGGCCACTGGGTACACATTCTAAAACACATTCTACACACATTACACATTCTAAAAGTCTTATTATTGTCATCATTATCATCATCTAATGAGCAATGGCGGATTGGGAGAAGGCGAGACTTCCTTTCCCCCCTTCGCTATAAACAGGGTTCCCACTTCTTTAGTGATGACATTTGAAACCAAGGTGGCTGTCCGTTACAGCAAGCGCTCGATTTTACGGAAAAATAGGAGACAGTAAACAGTCTAGAAACGCGGCTATTTTTGTGGTGCAATATGAAACGACACCACTTCTTTACACTTTTTACCTCGTTACTTACTAGTTTTAAAAGTTAGAACCGAACCGAGATTGACTAATTGGCGTGGGTCGTGGGTCGTGCGTGATAGCTCATGCCAATATGCTCGTGCCTCTTCGAGAAGACTCTTGCTCGTAGAATTTAAAGGCACCGTCTTCCTTTACACGACCCTTTGCATTCATGAAAAAGTTTCTCCGATAAATTCAGGAAAGCCAATTTTATCAGCAAAATATGTCCTTCCCGCTCCTCTCCCATTTTCCCATATGCTCCTCTCACACTTTGCGTTTGTAATGAAATGCACATGCGTCCCAAAAAACCACTTGCGGTTAAAAGAAAACTCTAAGATAATCGCGGCTTTTCCTCCACATTCTACGTCGTTGGAAAAAAACCTTACAGTATGTTTTTTAGACCAAATTAGGCACTAAGTTTAGGGAAGACAATTTCATAAAGCAAATTACGACCAATCATCACCATTTAAACACTTCAATTCTACCTCTGAGCCCAATTGCAGATCTTGTGGCAGTCTGTGTAAAGAAGTTCCGACTTGAGCTAATCACAATTGTTTATAGGCCTGGTACGTACACTTCCGGGAAAAATCACAGGGTGTGGAAACGTTCGTGTCCTCTATTTTCCGGTCTTTTTCTGTACTAGCTATTCTTAGATGATAGTACATAATCTCGTTATGAAATTGAAGTCATGAACATATGATTTTTGGTTAGTTTTTAACACCTTTACATCAAACACGCGAACCCGGTTTTCACCTTTAATGTCAATAATTTCCACGAAGTTTCACCACCTCTGCTAGCAAATTTCATCGGGTACTAAAAGTTGTGATAAAAAAAATGCAGGCCGCGCCAACTAACAAGTATTATTATACATCAGACTCACTATGAAAAATCTGATTGGTCGAGAGCATTCAATCAATTCACAATAGCTTGTGAACTTGACATTAAAAATGCAATATGTGCTGCAGATATTGCATTTATCATGTCAAGTTCAACGTCTGCCTGGTTACCAAGCCCCTTTGAGTGTTCTCCTCAGAAACAGAATGGCTGAACAGATGAATGTCTTCTTTAGCCTATTGTTGAAAAAATGTATAATAAAACAATTATTGAATTCGGTTTTCGCATGATATCATGAATTATCAAAACCTCGTGTCTGTATTATCTGCCGAAGCCTTCGGCTTCGGCAGATAACACAGACCTCGGTTTTGATAATTCATGATATCATGCTCAACCTCATCCAATAATTGTTTAATGAAAGCCTGTTAATATCAGTAGCAGGACTGGAGCGTACAACACTGCTGAAAAGGCCGAAAGATTGCGTACAGAAAGAAAACAGACCTAAGTTAGGAAAAAGCTGTGACTATTATTACTTGAGCAACAGAACTGAACTAATGATCGAAGTGGTCTATTCTTCTCGGGTAAGCTTGCTGGCCTTCTGTTCCGAGCAATTTTTAAGCGCACAAGTTTGTTCACTCGCATGCCTTAGAATTACGTAGGGTTCTTTGACTGAAGACAAGATAAATAAATCTGGGCATGTAAAGTACTAACCGTAACTACTAATAACAGCAAACAAATGGGCTTTAATTCAGCCCGGCGAAAGAAGACGAAGTACTGGACACAAATCAACTCACAAATGGAATGCACAATTATCAGAAAAATATAAACCTCTTTGGAAATGTTGAAATCTTTTTTTTTCCACCTCAGACTGACGGAAGGATTCGTTTTTACTCTACCATTGGTTGTTCTGGATCCAAAGTAATTTTCAAGTGACGAAAAAACCAAAACAACAAAAACAAATAAAAAAGTTTTCATACAAGGAGCAAACGTTCGCACCTCGTGTATTCCATTCAGTCTCAGTCAGAACTCTCACGGAACGACACAAACAAACGCAGTCAGCTGACTCCTGGTTAACGCAGTCAACAAACAGAAAAGCCCGCCTTAAGCCTTCGATAACGGATTCGCAGAAGCGATTATTTTCCCAAATATCATTTAGGATGATTCTTTTTAGTGTTTGGTAAAAGTAAAGCGACAAAAGAAAATATCTCAATTTGGTTCATTTGACCTTTGATGACTGGTCGTCCTAAGGGAAACCGTTAATTTTGTTTCTCAAGAATGTCGCTGTAACGGCGGTCGTCGGTCAACATTCGCGGGGAACAGTGTACTGTTACCCTCTGACGTCCTAGATTATGCAATGTTGCCCGATTAGGATTTTGGCGGGAAACAGTGGGCGCTTTCCATTCAGTTAAAAAAAACCGGAAATTTCGGTGGGAGCAAAAGTGCAATTTCCGATTGGTAATAAGTTGTTCCATTTAGTCGTAAACCCCGGTACGTCGCTCTGCCTGACCGTGGACCTGGAACTGGTACAAACTACGAGAAACGTAAATGGAACACGACATTCCGTTCGGAAATTCCAACCGGGAAAACGGGTCCACCTTTTTAGATTTTCCACTTTTCCTGGGAATTTTCCAGTGGGACGAACGAACACCCGAAACGTGTTCCATTTACCGCCGAACCGGAAATTCCGGAAATTTTGACTAAATGGAAAGCGCTCAGTTTCATCGTTAGATTTCATGAGACCTGGAAGTTAATTACCAAAGAGAGCACGCGCTGTTGGAAAAAATTGGCTCCAGCTATATAACAATCTAATTTGGCGATGAACATAAAAGTTCTCTCATGGTATCCTTTACAGCTTGCCTTACTTCTCTAATCTTCCAACAGTACAGCAACGGGTTTAAAGAGGAGTTTAGAAGAACTAACGTACGGGTAGATTCCCTTGCAAGGTAAAGCGATAGTGGCATCCCTCGCTGATCATGAGCTTTCAAAGTTTCGGTTATAAGGATCGGCAGATAAGAAACAACCAATGTCATCTGCACCCACAATGCAGCAGACACTGCCTTTCTGTATCGCGCCATGTTAAGCGAAACTGGTTGGTTCTGCTGTCTTTGAGGAAAGTGGTCCAGCACTTGGATTTGGTTATGACGCAGAATCAAGAAAATCTTCACGTAACAGACAAATGAGGTGACGAGACAAACAGATAAGGCTACCCTGACGCACCATGACGTCACAATAGGATCCCAAAGGTAGGCTAATAAACCCACAATGCACAAAATCCAGCCAACAATTAGGGTCACCAGTGTTCTTTTCAAAGTTACAACTTGTCTGTATCTCAGCCCCAGTAACAGGGCGAGAAGTCTGTCCACGCTTATTACAGCCGATGTAAATAATGACACGGCACTAAAAAGAACAGCCGTGAAAAAACTTAACAAATTCGCGTAAAAGCAAATATCCCATTTATCGCTTAGAACGGAAATAAAATAGGCAACATAAACAGGCTCTGCAATCATACCGACACAGAGATCAGTTATCGCTAGGTTACGATACAGGAGTTTGGAAGGCGGGTGAAGTGAAGATTCTTTCTTCAGAGCGACTAGGATCAGAGTGTTCCCCAAAAATGCAGCAATGGACATAGAAATATTAACCACCAAGAGAAAGATTAGCCCATGTTTTACTTCTCCAAAAAACGCGGCCGTGCACCGAAGCTGGCTGTTCAATTTCTCCAGGCTTTTATTTTCTGCCAAGTTTGTTGCTTGAGCCATTTCTCTGTAGGGGGAGCCGTTGAGAGTAGGCTGTCTGTTGAAAAAAAAAATCATGATTTTTTTCTCTTAATATTAGGAAAGAACATTGATTGTCACTACTAATATGCGCTTCCTTATAGTTAGCAATTTCTAGGCTGCTTTACCGTCAAAAAACCCGTTACTTGAGTATTTTATTCAATGAATTGTTTGAGAATATATCACGAAACTCCATGTAAGCATTAAGGACAGCAACAAATTACAGCAGAGTTTATTTTCATTGAATTTTCGCCATTAATTATTTCTTAAAAATTTTAGATCGAAACTTTACCCCCTTACAAACACGGTAATTGCGTTCGAGGTACGAGAACGCAACCCCTAATTTGTGTGGGTGTTCTGTGCATTATTGGGTGACCTGTGCAATTAATTTTTGCGATTGCATTTTCCTTCGTCGTCGTCGACAC